TTGAGCTGGGTGGAAGTCTACTTGTCCCCAAGCAGTTACTTCCTAAAGCTCATGTGTAATAAGCACTTTTCTGAAAGATACCTATTGTCCATCCAGCTTACAATGGCCCACTAAAATTTCTCAGCTATATCAGCAGTGTTGCATTTAGTCTATTTTAAACTTAGTTTTCAATTTTCAAAATAATTCTAATAACATAGGTTTGTGTGTGTATGTGCCCTTTATTTTACTGAAACCATCTCCTTTCCTCCCCAGGAACTCACACAAAGGCTGCGTTCATCCCTCCCTTGTCCCGTCCTGCCTTTCTGTTGTGCTTCCTAATTGCTGCATAAGGCCACATCCTGGTGAGAAAACAAAAGCCATCTATTTGAAACAACGAAAGGATAAAATCTCAGTTCACTGCAGCTGTCCTTGCAGCTACTGACAGCCCTACAAGTTTGGTCTGGAAATATATTTCAGATAGAAAATTAGAAATTCGTGAGTGGTGCAAATATCTGAAGTCCTTCTCTGCAGGTAGAATGGTCCAAGGCTGGAATAACTGATGTATAGTAAATATTTCTCTCTTGGCAGCCAAAACATGCAGCTAGTGTATATGTTTGGCAACTGTGTCTCTGTTGAGTGTTTTGGCAGTATACTCATGTTTACATCCCTCACTCCTCACTTCCTTCCTTTGCAGCGGAGGCACGCTGTAAGTGGTGGGATAGAAACAAGCTCTGCTGTCACTTAGCAACCTCCGCTGGCTTTTGAGATGTAGACTTTTTTCCTTCCTGGATTTCCCAGCACACAAAGAGATGGTCGCATACCTCATCACATGGCTAAGGCTTGAGGCTGCAGCCAGCTAGGGGTGCTTTTGTCTGGTCCAGCCTGAATCCCTCTTGAAGCATCGCATCCATGTCCTGCTGCTACTCCAGTGGGCAAGGCACTGGGAGTTAATGGGTCAGTCCTGGGTTTTGTCATCTTGGGTGCAGGGATGCATCTGGTTGTGCCCAGCTACGAAGACTCTTTAGCCCAGGGTGACTCTGTGGCCAGGCAGCTGGCAAGGTAGATTCTATGAGGCAGGCAGTAGTGGAGTGCTACACATATAGTCCATATGGTATAACTCCTCAGGCGTCACAGCCCAGATCCCAGCTCTTCAGAAGGACTGGAAGTGGCTGGGCTCTCAGGAAGATGGTGGATGTGAATGGGGACATATTGGCACTGGCTAAAAATATTTCAAGCAGTTGGGAGAGATTCTGCAGTTATAAAAGGTGCAGGGACTGAGCACTGAGGCTCATCCCCTCCAACTGGGAAGAGCTCTTCTGGGGTGAGCCTGGCCGGGGATGCTGTTGTTGCCTGGTCATGGCAGGATCACAGCACAGCAAGGGCTGCAACAGCCACATCCCAGAGGCTGGAAGTGCCTGGGAAATGTTTTGTGCATGAAATGTTCCCTCTGCAAAGTACTTGGCTTGCCTGTCATTGTGACCAAGGAAGCAGGCATGCTGCCAGGCTGCAGCAAGGGAGTACAGCTCTCTCCTGGGGTACCCAGGGCTGCAGGGAAACACCTCTGCAGGCTGCATTGCAGCACGGTGGCTGTTTTCTGCCTTGCAACTAGATGCACCCATCTAGTTGCCTTGCAACTAGATGCAGCTGGAGGTCACAGGACAGCAGAGAGGCCACCATGCCAGATAGGATACGGATGGGGGTGTCACAGTCCTGTGATCTGAGTGTCAGAATTGCCACAGGCTGCAAGGGAGAGGCAGAAAGAGCCTCCTCTTTACAGGGGGAAATGCTGCAGCCACTCTTGCTTTCTGGCTTTGTGTCTTTTGCAGCTTCAAGGTCTGATCTCTCCTCCTAGTATACAGGCATAATGTAGACTGGGACCTTCATGCCAGCACTGCAGAGCCAGGTGCTGCTGAGACCCTGGGAGCTACCCTGTGCATGGGGCTCCTTGCCCACATCTCCTCATGCTTTGTGCCCACCAGCTGCCTGAACAGCTCTGCAAGACTCTGGGTCAGTACATGAAGCAAGAAGGACATGAGGAAAGTCCCTGGAGAGAAGATTATGCATGAAGGAACTTGCCTCTTCGAAATACTTCCTGGGAGGAGGATGCATCCTCATTGGTGCTCTGCTTCCCTGGGGTCCTGCCTGCTCTTGTGGCAGGGGAGCATCCCTGGCTCTTCACTGCAGGTGTCTGCAAAGCTCCATTCTGGTAGTTTATATATAGCCTATTTTTCATGAAATGAATTGCACTGGTGTGTGTTTATAAAGCAGCCTGGGGATCTGATCCAAATGTCCTCAGTTTTAACATCACACTGCCTGGTTAGGAGCAAGTGTCTGTGAGTATAAGTTTGTGGCTCAGATGCTACAGCTGCACCCTGAAGCCAGACTATTTTTGCCATATATTTTTCTGGAAATCAGGGAAGGACAAACTTGTTGTCTGTAGGCTTGATCTGAATTGCACTGGAGGCTTTAGCAGGGCTAGGGGTCCTTGGCAAACTGTGCAGGAGCTGGTGACTTATGGAAGTGAACAGACTACACTGATAGAGGCAGTGGTGCTCGTGGGGCTGGCCTGCCACCCTGGGGAGCAGGGCACCCTTCCCTCCATGCTGGGGAAATGTAGTTGGGGAAGGTTGTTTCTCCTTGCCAAGCCTGGCATGTGGCCAAAAGAAATGATAAATGTGGGGCAAAACTGAGCACAGGGTAAAAAACAGCATGTTTAGGTGCAAACCAGTGAGCAGTGCAGCTCTGTGTTCCTGGGAATTGTACCTGGTGCTCCACAGGAACAGAGTTTATTTGCATGGCCCTCTGATACTAGTTTGGGTCTTTTTTTTCCAGGGTTATTCAGGTTATTGCAAGAAGCTTTGCAATGGTCTCTGCTAGTACAGTCCCTTTTAATTTATTCACTCTGAATCTCAGCAAATTCGGAAAGCCAGGCTGGGCTCTGCATGGGGGTTTAGAACAAGCTGTCTGGAGAAGACAGAAGAATCAGAGACCTGAGGGTTTGCTCAGGTGCCCTTCCTCTTTTCGTCACTGCTGTCTTGAAATTGTTGGAAAAATGAGCACCCTCTTGATAACATGGGCATACATAATGAAAATATTTGTGCTTTTTTCTATACTTGGCTGCTTGTGGCTTTTTTTCTGGGGGGTGGATTTTGTAAGTGATGGAGTTGTAGGGCAAGTGTGGCTTCTAAGCAGCTTTAACTCAGCTTCCACAGACAAAAACATTTAGTTTGGAAATTCCCAGACTTGGAGTAAATCAAACTTTTCCTAATCATAGATATTTATAGATGTTTTAAATATTTTTTTTTCTTAAGTACTGAGGCAAAGAAAGATGTAATTTAAAGACCTAATGGACAGGGCAGCTCCTGGGGTTATCAATTTGCAGGTGTGCATAGCGTTGCTTCAGAGGCATTGCGCCTTTTTTAATCTTCATTTGTCTCTTGTGGAGAAGCAGTGCTATTGCTGGCTGCTCTGCTACTGATCTTAATTATCTCACTGGGACAGCACAAAGTGCTCCACTGGTCACAGGGGGTGGATTTGGCCAGAGCATAATACTGTTCTTCCCAGCTTCCAGCCTCTGAAGAAACCCATGAACTGGAGGAAGGCCAGGCAGCTAGTGTAGTGCCTCCTGGCATAGCCTGCTCGCTTAGGAGTGTGGAAAAAATAATCATGCAGCTAATTGGCATAATAATGTCAATAAGCCCCAGGCCTTCTCTAGATAGAGATCATCAGAAGGCTTTTCCCAGAGGCTGTGGTGCTGGGGAGTTGATCTAACCTCAGTGGCAAAGTGACTGCCACTCTGTGAAGCTCTCTGCATTATGCCAATTAGAAACTTTTCATCCAGAGCTAAATGAAACTGTTCATTTGTCTCCAGGGTTAGAAGTCATTCAGTTGTGAAGAGTAGTTTTTTACACTTATTGGGAGCTCTGGCCAAGAAGTTTTGATAATCCTCCAGATCGTCAGTATACGTCAGTCTGCGGGATGTTCGAAGTTCCCTTTTGTTTTGCGTTACACGCTGAGCAAGGCTGGTGTCTGGTTTAATACAGAGGGTAACTTTTATCACTGCAGTACTCTAAAGCCTCTGTTTTGGGTATTTTTGTGTTGTGACTGCTGCCAGTAATCACAGACAAATCTAGTCTCTGTTGTTTGCCTGTGCTTTTAGCCCAGCCTCAGTACGCATTGTTAACTGAACCCACTGCAGTGATGTGGCTCAGATCCCTGTTCCTGATCCATCCACCTGCTACCAGCCCTGCTGGGACTGGCTTCTCAGGCCTGCCCTGGCATGGTTCTGATGAGCATGTGTCTGACCCTGGCCATGCTCCTGCCCATGGATGAACATTGGTGCTGCTTGCCAGGGCCCCTTGTGTGCTGTAGGGATGGATCATGGTTCCCCTGCTTCCATTCCCATCGTGGGTGGGAGCCGAGAAAAATTCAACCGTTGGGACTGCTCCAAAATATCCTGCTCAGCAGATTGGGAAGTGCTGAAGCCAGCTGTCTGCCAGGTCCCATGCTGGCGGGTGGGACACAGCTCCTCTGTGAGCTCCTGCTTTGGCCCCGTTCCTAGTTTGATGCCAAACTCGTACAGGAAGAGCACAAGCAAACCTCCACTGGGTGCTGGCGGATGCCATAGCTTGGCATGGCCCTGTGCCCGCTACAGGGTGTCTGGCTAGGGTCGAGGTTTTGGGGGAGAGGAGCAGCGTGGCGGCCTCTGGTCGGTACGCGGACCTGGGTGGACAGCGGTCCTTGCGCTCAAGGGTCCCAGCACCGAGGCCAGTCTGTCCACATGAGGGGAGGAGCGGACCCTCGAGCGGACAGCGGATGACCGGCGGCTCCAGGCTGCCGAGGGGACCCCGGGGGTGCTCCCTGGATGTTGCTGGTCTCTGGCGGTGACCGGCGGGAGGAGGCTCTGCGCTGCGGGGCAGCAGGAAGGGCAAACGGGACCCCACCACAGAAAGTCCGAAATCAGCCGCACCGACCAGCTCTGGGCTGGGGCGTGGCCCTCCCGCTGAAGCCCCGCCCCCCGTCTCGCGGATGGCACGCATGCGCAGTGCGCCGCCTGTTACCTGTCAGCGGCAGAGCGGCGGCGTGGCGGGATGGAGGGGCTTATCCCGCTCGTCAACCGGCTGCAGGACGCCTTCGCGGCGCTGGGCCAGAGTTGCCTGCTGGACCTGCCGCAGATCGCGGTGGTGGGCGGGCAGAGCGCCGGCAAGAGCTCTGTGCTGGAGAACTGCGTCTCCAGGTGAGGCGGCGGGCGCGAGATGTCCCTTCAGCAGCGCCCTCTCCCCCGCCCCCCCGGCCGGCCGCGCGCGCCGTTCCTAACGGTTGTGTCCGTCCTCCCCCGCCCCGCTCCTTCCAACGGTCGCAGAGCCGCGAGCCCGTGGCGGCCGTTGGAGCCTGGCTGCGAACGGGGATGGACGCGGTGGGGGGGGTCCTGGCTCCGTGCCGGACAGGAGTGTTCGGTACGCCCCTCCGGTGCCGCGGGAGGTGGGAGTGAGGCGGGTCCTGGCACGGCGCGGGGAAACCGGCGCACCTCCGCACCTCCGGTGTGAGCGCGGCCGTGAGCCCGGTGCGGGACTTAACCGCTGTCTGGGGCGGGGGGAAGGTGTTTAAAGCCCTAAATCCTAATTCCGGTGGGTGTTCTGGGTCAGGTCGGCTAATGGTTTTCATAGCGCTGCTTAGTTGCCGTCCTAACGCGTATATGGGTATTGGCATCTCTTCTAATAATCGCTGAAAGAAACAAGGGGAAGCGTTGGTGATTCAGGTGGTCCCTTCAGCGGTCAGACTGCGTCTTTGAAGATCTCCTGACGTAAACATGAACTTCACGTGCTGCTTCATAAAGTTCCTGCTGCGTTTGCAGCACAGAGCGTACAGGCTCCCAGAGGGAGGTGGTGTTTTCAGAGTGTAGCTGAAGTCGTTAGTCTGCATATAGGATCAAAAAGGGCTGTTGTATGTCAGTGACTGAGGAACTTCTGTGCACGGAGATCTTAACTGAAGGTAATGTTAAATGCTGTGTCTCCCCACAACCTAGCCATGTGTCAGATCATAACAGCTCTTGATATACAGTATAATAATACTATGCAGTTGTTCTTCATCTCCACTTCAGAATTTACTCTTACTGTGTTAAATGTCAGTTCTTATGCTTCTTTCTACTTAGACTGATATTGACAGTACTGCCAGTCTCTGAAGTTTAGAAATCACAAGTGAGATTCTCAGAAATCACTATTGGCCATTGAATTATTACAGGTTTTTTTTTAAAAACAAGTCTTTAAAAAGTATTAGTGCAGCCTTTTGGCTTTTTGATCTATGTGTCCACAAAGCTGTGCAAGCCATGTGTGCTGAGGAGGAAAGGCATCTTCATCTTTCTTGTCAATAAGGGTATTTTGGTCCCTGTGACAAACCCTTGTCTCGGGTGACTTCCAACAGCAGGCGCTGTCGGTTGATGTTTTTCTCTACATACAGCTGTTCTGTACTGCTCCCAGATGCTTGTTATTGCTCCTCTGCGAGAGGGATCTGCTCCATGCGATCTGCAGGTGGAGAGGATCACTCCTGGCTCTGCTGTCCAGATGTGCCTACTTTGACTGAAAGGTGAAAATGAACAGTTTATACCAATCCAGCCCACTTGGACAAGAAGCTTGAACCAGCTGCATGAGTGAGATGTGGACATTTCTAGGAAGAATTATGAAAGAAAGCAAAGGGCAGTGACTTTTTTCACCCACGCAGCCTGGGGATGCTCCAAGGGAGTCTTTTCAGAGAAGAGCTTACAGACTACTGTGAAGCACCAGGGTGTCTCTTGTCACACAGGATCTGGAATTTGGATTCTTTCAGCCCCATCTCAGAGTTTACCTTATTGTTTCATACAGTAACTTCATGAGATACAGATACTACATATCTGTAGTACCTCCCTACTTTCAAGCTTGGAGCCTATTGCAAATGTGACATTAGAATGCATTACTTCAAACCTATTTAATGAGATTTCAGCAACTATGTTTTACTTATGCCTTTTCTCCAGACTGAGTATGTGTGGTCAGCAGATGTGTACTTGCTAAGCTGCGAGAACCCTTAGAGCCAGATTAATAAATATCCATGAGGTCTGAAGATCATTTTGCTTGTCAGAGCAGCAGACAAAATTATCTATGGCTCTTTTTAGTAAGCAATAGAATGTTCCTGTTTTCATGGCATAATGAAGCTGTTCTCTGCAAACACAAAGTTTATTGCATTTTCATCTGTCTTAATATTGCTTATAGAGGTAGCATGCGTTATAGAGATGTTATGGTCATTTCTTTTTGGTAGTGGTACATTGCATGATGTATTATTAACCACAGGATGAACACTAGCTAATAGTAACACAGCTTTGAAATTCATATCAAAATAAAATAGTCCTATCATTGCACTGGTTTGAGTGTTAATTCAGATGGCTTTTTGTTTGGGGATTTCAGTTCTGTGGTTTGGGGTTTTTTTAGGGGTTTCTTCTCCCACTTTTTCCCAGTTTACAGAGAGACATTCAGGATCTCCTGTCTTCAGGAACAGCTGTAATTGGTAAGAGAAAGGCGTGCTATCCTCCATGTGGAGGGGAGGGTCTGCCTACAAAGGTGATGATGGCTGATGACCTGAGTATTTGTTAGTGGAGCTTTAAGTGGGGTTAGTAAGGTTCTTCTTAGCTCTGGGATACAATTGTTATTCTCTACTGCCTGTAGTTACTAAACCATTGTGCCTGTTTCAGTCCTTCATGGGGACTTCGGTTGTGCAAGCATGACTTCTTTCTGCTTGGACACAGGAAGCCTATTTTCTAGCTTGCAGGTGGTATCAGAGTTGCAGCTTATTTATGGAGCCTAACTGCTCGGGAAACATGTTAGTATATATTGTGTTACCCACCATCTGATGAACGCATTAGAAAGGTTGTGAAGGATCTGGCCTGGCAGATGGTTCTGGAAGTGGGATCCAAGACCTGTTGTTTTAAAAGCTGCTGAATGACACACATCCGTCACTGCCACCAGGATAGCACCAAGCCTTAAGCCTTGTTTAGGTGCACATGGCATCCTTAATTACTAACAACAGTCAGTGGATATGTTTGGATTAGATTGCGTGTTTGATACACGTCGACGCTGGATGCATATTTGATACACATCGATGCGTGAGGATGAATTCTCCATGTTTGCCTGCTGTGGGAATAGTGGCACCCAGAGCTGTTTCTGTCATTCTAGGTTGGCTTGGAACAAGGCTGGAGTTGGGGCAGTGTCAAATTTCCCAATGTAGCAATTATTGTTACTATTTGGATTAGTATCTGCTAAGGCATTTGGAGAGTTCGCTCTTCACTTACTGTTCCTTTGTATGTAAGGAGACCTCTTCTTTTTGTAGTCAAGGACTATATTTGAAGGGTTTCCTCTGAAGTTTCGTGTTATATTTTAGGTGGAAACAGAGATTCCAGAGAGCATCTGAGGACAATAGTAATTTTTCCATTTATGGGTCAGACCTTCATGTGTTCATAAGTAGAGCTCATGGCACTTATTTAAGGAAATGGTATTGTCTGGAGAGCAAATGTTCTTGCTTGCTGCTCTTTGTGATAGAAGTACCTGTGCCCTTAAAATACTGAGCCGGTGTTTGAAGCAAAGGAGCTAGTGCAATCTTCTGTTAGAAGCTGGTGGGAGAGAGATTCAAAAGAGCAAAGGGGAGTCAAACATCTAATCCAACAGACTGCCAGTGGGAGCTGGGTACTTTGCCTGGGCCTACATTTTTTGCTACAGATGAGTACACGACCATGACGTTAGATGTTGTTTGTACTTATCAAGCATCTTGCTTTTGATGATAATAGGGTTACTTAAAATAAAAGGAATGGCAGGAAGCAACCCCTGGAAACTGTATTTGGAGAGAAAGCATTTCCTATTATTTCATACATCCAAATGGGCTTTTAAGATAACTAAAAGCACAGATGGCAAGCTACCTTGTCAGGGCCTCTTTCTCTAGATTTGAATCAGAACCCTATTTTATTCTTACAAATAATGAGAAATTAATAACTAGATTTCAATGCTGAAAGCTCTTTACTTCCTTCCCTGCTTAATATAATATAAACTGCATGTGGCCAAATAATTGTTTTATAAGAGACATGAACTCTTGATTGTGAGCCTGTCAGTCACAATCAAACAAGCACTTTCGTTTAAGAGCCTGAGGTCTGGTTTTGTGATACAGCTTTGCAGTTTTTTGATCTGAGGCACTTTTGATAATTTAATGGTTGCTGCATGTTGTACAGCTATTTATTATGACATACATCTTTTTCCCCCCCAAATTATGATTCGTTGTGTGCTCAGCTCATTTTTTATTATTTTTTTCTCGAGATGGCAGTTGTGAAAAGACTATGCTGAATCATTAGGAGAAGAGAAAGGATTTTAAATCTGGCTGCTGAGGCAGAGAATTTCTCCAAAGAAAGTAGATGCATACTTAGGTTGTGTGCTTCCTCGGGAAGATAAAGTTAAAATTGTTGTGGATATTTTATTCTTTTAGCTACTAATTATTGACAGGAATACTTCTATACGGAGAATTCTCTTTTGTGAAACAGGCATGAAAAAGCTAAGTAGTCAGAGACACAGAATAAAATGTGGTGGTATCTATACTTTTAATCTTAAGGATCTTCTGGAAATGAGAATCAGCTGCTCCTTTTCCTGACTAATTAAGCCTTTGTACAGCCGTATTGAATGTATTAGTGTAGTTATCAAAATACTCCGGTGCACTGAAAACAAGAATTGTTTCTGGGTATTTCATTAAACAGAAACAGCAGCATATGAGACAGTGGCTCAGTAAGGTTTCTTCCCTAAATACCTGTTTACATTTAGAAGTTGCAGAACAAACCTGGCCTTTTTGATGGGATACAGTTTTTTGTATCCTGGCCTAGTTTTTTCCTTAAATGTAACTCCATTGTGGATTTTAAGTTATTTCTAAACATTTTTATTGCTTTAATGAACACAAGCTTAGTATTTGAAGTCTGAGACCTAGATTTCAGGAAAACCTCAAAACCCTGCAAAAACAAACCTGCAAAAAACCCCAGTCCAGTCTTGAGTGCCTTCTGAGAAATCAGTGATACAAATTCGGTGGCAGTTATTACTGGAAGTTCAATCCATCAGGGTACTAACGGTGCCTGCACATCTCTGATCACTTTTAAAAAAGTGAATAGTCACCTAGTGAGAGGTCTGTCTTTTATTTTTTTTAGTATTTTTTATTCAGATCATATGTATCCATTGAACTTTATCT